CGCCCAGCTGCAGGGACTTGTCCTGCCGCTGTCTCTTGCACTTGTACCTGCGATTCTGGAACCAGATCTTCACCTGCGTGGACGTGAGCTTCAGGCTGCTGGCGAGGTGCTCGCGCTCCGGCGCCGACAGGTACCGCTGCTGCTTGAACCTGCGCTCCAGCTCGAAGACCTGGGCTTGCGAGAAGAGGACCCGGGGCTTCCGGCGGCTGCGTGGCTTCGGCCTCTCGCCATCCTCGGCCGCCTTACAGTCTCCCGCCGCCTCCAGAGGCTTCTTCAGCTGGCAGTTTTCTGCGGAAGAAGCAAAACATCAGCGTCCCTTAGATGTGCCAGACCTCACGGCAGCTCCGACCCCGGAGCATGGTGCCCTTGTTGGTAGCTGCACGGAGCGTGCGGTAGTAAATGTCTAGAGTTTTTGGAAAGTTTGTGGCTCCTTCCAAGTACAGTTAGAACGCCCTCGAGGCACGTTCCACCAGGAGGGGTAGTTATAGTTAGTGCGCGGCGTTTATTTAGAACTTGAGCATCTGCGAGAGAGATTACCCCGTATTACATGTGCGGCTCAGCGTGCTAATGACTATTTTCAGGATGCACGTTTGCAACTACATAATAACTACAGTATTTGCAAACTCGTTTGCCTTCCACACCGTCACAGATAGCGGAAGGTGTGAGGCGTGTTGGTATCTGGGAGCCGGTATGCGAGAGTTGCACGGACATCTTTCTGATAGAAAGTGTAACGCTCGTGCATTGCCCAGCGACTAATTTGTGCTCCTAAAGCACTACATGCTCACAGCTAAATGCCCGTGTGATGATGTCTGTGCTGCCTTAGAGAGAAAGGAAATTTGACTGATATAGACAGCTTCACGTCGATTTTAGGCCCAGGGGAGCTGTCAGAGGGTAGGCAGGCCTCGGCTTTGGCCAGATCAAATTTCCTCTTGGGGAAAGAGATTCCACTGTGTCCCCTCAGACACAAACACCTCCTTGGAGGTTGTATTCAGTTATCTGAGTTCCCTGCCCAAGTCACCTCCCATCCGATGGGAGCGCCGGGATCTTAGACTAAGTCTGGCGCGGTTTTCCTTCGGCCGGAAGCAGCACTGCCTGGGACACAAAGCAAAACGTTAAGAATTCTTTAAAAAAAAGGCCGGCGCCTCAGGGGTGTGAGTGCTCTGCGGAACAGACTGTGTTCCCACGCAACCTCTCTCTGCCGGGTGCTGTGGGTTCGAGGACGCTGAGCTCCAAGTAAAGAGAAGAGGAAATCACTCAGCTGGTCTCTAGCAAACTTCCTGTGTCCCGTGGATGCTGGACACAACCTGCTTGGACCCCCCTTTTTTTTCTGAAAAGAGGGACCACTGCTCTGGCATCAGAGAACTGGTCTCATGCTAGAGGGAAGGTGGAAAAGATTCAAGCTCTTGCCCCTTTAGCTCTTGGAAAGAGCAAAAATACAGTGAGTTTGTCCGGACTCAGCGGGGCTGAGCCCCTGTTGCTTATCTACATTAGGGCGGCAACACCGACCTTCCCTTCCCTTAGGGACTGCATGGACCCCTCTCTGGGAGAAGGAGTTGTCGGGGTCACCTGGTCCTTCTCCTTCCACCCCAGGCACCTGCTCTTTGCGGAGTTTTCCTGGACCAGGGCGAGGCATGACCCCAGCCAAGGGCTACAGGGGCAGGTTTTGGGGGGTATCTGGGGGCGCTCCGCCATTGCTCCAGATGTGCGGGTGCGTTTCCTTCCCCCTCTACTCACTTTGGCTCCGGTCCCTCACAACCTCGGAGTCCTCTTCATGTTCCTTAGGCCCGCTGCATGAGTCTCGCAGGACCGCGTGGACATAGCTCTGCGGACAGAGCCCAGAATCCCCGTGGCCATCGGCCGTGGCTAGTGAGTTCAAATAGGACAATTTCTCCCCTTCTTCTTCCTCGTCTTCTTCCCCTCCGTCAGAAAATTGCGTCCCATCGGCGGTGGCCAGCATGCAGGGCGCTGAGTGGAAGTGGTGCTCCAAGTCCGCTTGCAAATGAGCGCCGTGGAAGTGCTGTTGCTGCTGCTGCTGCTCCAGGTTCAAGATGTCTTTGACTGAGAAAGGGGTGGAAGTGACCGGGCTTGGTAACATCATCAGGGCCACTTAATTTTCCAGCCCAAATACTCAATAAATCCCGGCGGGGGCGGGGAGGCAGCGCAGCGCTCCAGCTCTCCTTCTGAACTCCACCGCGGCTGCCGAGTGGGGCTTTTGACAGACGCGGTCCTGCTCCAGTCTAAATCGGGTCCATTGGCCGGGACCTGGGAGTCTGGGTTTTGTTACAGCCACTGCAGGGTCTGGGCCCTCGGTGGTGAAGCCTGTGTCTGAGGTTCGTGCGTCATGCCAGGGGCGGGGCTCTCGCCTCAGCCTCCGTTCCCATTGGTTCCAGCTCATGCGGACCACGCCCCCCACTTCCACTGAGTGGGGAGTAGTGACCCGACCAGAAATAGACAAGGACTACAGAGAGTCTCCAAGTCTGAGTCGCTGCTGGTGAGTCTGCACCGCCTCGGGTGCCCGAACACCACTTCCCGCCCCTTCTGGCCGCACCTTCCCGGCCAGCGCCAGTTCTGGGAGGTTTCCTGTCCGCAAACCAACGCTAGGAAGGATGGATGGCCCAGGAGCATGATTTTTCCAGCTGCTGCGGGGCAGGAGAGCTTCCTTGCCTATAAATACCGGGCATTAGATCCCCAAGGAGGCAGAATGTTTTATATATCTATAGATGATCGACGTGTCCGTTCCCGCCTCATTGACTTTGCTCAAGCTGTTCCCTCCCATTGGAACGCCTTCCCCACGCTCCCACGCTTGTCTCCATGAGTCAAAAGTGTTCTCCAAGGTTCTGCTCAAATACCATCTCCTCCAAGAAAGCGTGCCCCCCTGGTCTCCTGGCCGGAGCTCATCTCTCTTGAATCTGAACTTGCAGCGTGTGTTAGTAAAGGACATTCGGTCACTTATTACTTCCCACTATGGCTATATTGCCTACTTGCCCCACCCAGGTAGACTATGAGCCCCCCAAGGCAGGGTCCCGGTTGCATTTGCCCTTGTATTTGTCTTGCAGCAACTGCACTCAGCAGGTATGTGAGAGACAGTACGATGGAGTTATTATTGAACTTTGTTTTCTCACAACTCTTGGTTTGAATCCTAGCCTAGTCAGTGTGTGGCCTTGGGCGTTTCTAAGCCTCAGTTTCTTTGTCTACAAAAAGGAGACAATAATACCTTCTTCAGGGTTGTTGCCAGGGATAAATGAGGCAAAACATGCCAGGAGCCAGGGGAAGGCCCCACACATGTTAAGTGCTCAAGTACATGTCAATTACTGCTATTCAACATTAGAGGTCAAGCAGTGTTTGTTGACTGCACTGGTGAGACAAAGCTGGAGTACTGCGCACACGGTGGCTTCATACAGTCTTGATGAAGAATCTGTCCTCAGAAGGGAGGTGAAAAAACCAGCCGTGGAGACTGTCCTTTCCTCCTATTGAAATTGGGGGCCAGTTTCTAGGCCTTGACCCTTGGAGGCCTCTAATTTTCCCAATCCACACACCTTCTGGCGCCCTCGTGCGGCCCCCTTCGTGTATTCTAGGCGAATCTGTGGGGTCTCCTGAGATACAGGAAACTCCACGCTGGTAGGGATCATCTTCCCGCACAATAGGCGCTCGCCTGCCATTACGCCCAGCCCCATGAGGAACGGGGCACAGCTAAAGACCCTGCATAGCGCTGGCCTTGAAAGAACAGAGATCTGTTCCCAACCAACCTTGATGCTCCATCCGGCCTTAGCTGCCCTAAGCATTTTTTTTATTTTATTTTATTTTTTGGCAGTCGAGATGGTGGAACTGGGGGAGACCGGCTTCCGCTGGAAGGAGCGGGGTGGACCGCGCAGGGACTGTGGACAACGTCCCTGGGCGGTGGCAGACATGGAATGGGAGTGGGGAATGAGGGTGGAGAGCTGCCAGCACCCCCCCCTTCACTCCCCCGCAACAGCAGGAGGAGTGGGTGTCCAAAACTGGGGAGAGAAAGAACAGCCGGTCGGGAGGTGGGGAGAGGCGGGGCGGTTCAAGAGGGAGCGGAAATGGTGGGGGAGTCAGCTCCTGGGGAGCTTGGGGAACTGGGACGCGGCCGCGCGGGCCACGTGCGCTGGGGAGTTCTTAGGTGCCAGTGGCCGGTGGGCTGTGGGGGGACCCTTTGTGGGCAGGGCCTTGCGCCAGGAAGACCGCTCCCCAGCTACTGGGGCACCCCGTGCCTTTCAGCTGTGAATTCTCAGACTATTGACGCCCCAGGCGGGCCGGCGTCTCCAAACCAGGCCGTGGTGTTGCTGAAAGAAGGATGCGCCTGGTTTTGCGGCAGATCGAGAAAGCTTGGGCGCAAAGATCGAGAAAGAGGTGGGGGTGAGTGCACGGCACGGCCGGCTGCGAGTCCTTGAGCGCGTGCGTTGTGGAGTCAGGCAGATGTAAGCGAAGGAAGCTGCGGTCCAGCTTCACTCCTGCGCCCCCATCTCCAGGGCTAGACGCCTCGCGGGGGAATGTTTGGCTCCCCTCTGGTCCTCTTATTATTATTTTTTTTTACGCTTCTCTGGGTGCTTTCCTTACGTGATTCCAAGATTTAGAAAACAGAAAAAAGACAAAAGCTACCGACACTATCTCTCGCATTTCCAACCGAAGCCTGCATTTTCCCTTGCTACGTTCTCTGGCTTCTCGGCAGCACCTCGCTCCTAAGCTTTCCCTAAGTTCATCTCTGAGACCCCCATCTTAGATCCCGCGGCTGGGCACAGGGAACGACGAGGTATGTCCACGCACCCTCTGGAGTCTGTCCGGTTGCCTCCTCCCTGAGCACGTAGAAGGCTGTCTCCTCCCCACCCGCAGGCCCACTCGGTCCGTTCTCCTCCCCACCCGCTGCCACCAATACCCACCCAGATACCCTTGGGCCAGGCCTGAGTGGGTTATCTCCTGCGTCCCCTGACCGTGTTGCTCCTCAGCGGGCCGCCTGAGGACGAGTTCAGAGTCGATGGGCTGAAGGCTGGTGAGGATCCGGAGCGGGGAGCCCAGGTGCTGGGGCTTAGCAGGCGGTTCCTGCGCCCTGTTCCCCTTTGCTCTTCTCATACCCAGCCCCGCGCCGGACT